TCAGGCAGTCTTTGAAAAACAGTTTCTGGTTTACTTGCCAGAGTGGCTGTAGGGACCTGCTGGTATATTTAGCAACCTATCAGCTGAGCTTGCCTTTGTGGTAAATATTCATTTCGTTTCGTTTCAGGAAGTTGTCAATTTCTTCTGGGGTCTCTGAGTCCATCGGGCCTCGCCCATACAGATTTCTCCTACAACGTTATTAGCTTTCCCGCCTCCCTCTCTGGTGACTCCAGGTCACCTTCCACCCCTACCCATTTCCCACAAAGCCCTACGAAGACCGGGCAGGCCACCCCGCAGTCCGTGGCCAAGTGATCCCTAGAGCGAACGTGTGACTTCCCTCCTAGTCTGCAACGCCCCCGCTCTGCTTCAGCCCGGAGACCTCCCCAGAGCGAGGTCACTGCGCCGTACAACCTAAAGAGCACCTCCGGCTACAGAAAGCATGCGCGCCACCCCGCAGCCGCAGTTACCCGGCTCTCTGGCTTCCGGCTTCCCGGCTCGGCCATAGTCCCCGACGCAAGACGCCCCCTCCCCGCGCCCGCAGCTGTTCCCTCCTCCCACCACCAACCTGCTGCGGCCAAAGGGAGGAGACTGGGGCACAGCCCACCGTAGTGGCCACTCTGCGCCGCCGCTGCCCGCGCCTTCCACTGGTCGGGTCCGGGGGACGCGCGCGCTGCGTAGCCAGCCCCCGCCCCGCGCCCTAGCTGCCAGGGGACCCCGGGAGCCCCTCGAGAACCAGAGGGGCGCTGCGTGTAGAGGAGGGGCCGGGCTGGGCGCGACGCGGCGGTGGACGGCACTAAGAGGTGGCGGATGCGCTTGGTCCCCCCTCGGGCTACGGCGCGATGGTGTCGGCCAGCTAGGGTGTTGCTGACTCTGGGTTTGAAAGCGCCAAGTTTTCCTGCGGGCAGGGCGAGCGCCAGGGCGGCTGAGAGGGCGAGTGAGTGCGGTGGTGGGGGCGGCGGCCACGCGCGCGGGCTGTCAGGGATTGGGCCACCGGCCGGGACACCTGTGGCCTGGGTGGAGTGCCGCGGTGAGCCTGGGAAACCCCTGACCCAACTGGGGCACAGGGCACGGAGCTGGTCTGGAGCTGGGTTTGCAAAAGATCTTCCCTCCTTTATGCCCACTTTCTTCTCTCCCAGGAAAGGAGGGCCTAAGCCGAAGATACCATCTCCCCATATCCCAGACATCTTTTCAGGGATCTTTTCTGGCAGGAGCCCGAGGGACAGTACTGACAGGAGTCCTAGTAGTTACCAGTCGGGCTGCTAATCTTACGGTCAGCAGTTCAAAACTACTAGTGGTTCCTCGGCAGAAAAATGAGGCTTTCTGCTCCTGTAAAGATTTACAGTCCCGGAAACCCTATTCAGTGTCGCTATGAGTCGGAACCAACTCCATGGCACAGAACCACCACCACCATAGTGGCACAGTGGATTAACTGTTGGCCTGCCAACTTTAAAGTCGGCAGTGTAAACCTCTCTGCGGCAGAAAGATGTGGCTGCCTGTTCCCATAAATATTATTGTTGTTAAGTGCCGTTGAGTCGACTCATAGCGACCTGAACCCTATGAAGCAATTCTATTCTGCTCCACAGGGTCAGTATGAGTGGAATGGACTTAAGTACAGTAGGTTTGCTGGGGTGGGGGGAGGGGGGCAAGATCCCCTTCTTCCCTAAACCTGCTCCAACTATAGTCTTCCAAAGCTTTTGCCTCACCCCTTCAGCTGCAAGCCCCAGGCCAAGTGGGAGGGGTGGAATTGCTTACTCTAGGGAACCTGTAAACCTATTCCACTGTGGGCCCCATGATACCCTAGGGAGGTGTGGTGGGAAAAACAAGGCCCCAGCTCCTCCTTTCAGTCCCCACCCCACACTGCAAACACTCAAGCCCTAATGTCAGTCTCTCTTTCCTGGTTCCCACCTATGCCAGGTAACACTCCGGGCTGAAAACATGGTTCAGCAGTTGCTCTACCGTGCATTGGTCTCCACCAAGTGGTTATCAGAATCTATCCGAGCTAACAAGCTAGGGCCTAGCCTTCGAGTGCTGGATGTATCGTGGTACTCACCAGGTACCCGTGAGGCACGGAAGGAGTACCTAGAACGCCATGTGCCAGGTGCCTCCTTCTTTGATATTGAAGAGTGCCGGGATACGGCTTCGCCCTACGAGATGATGCTGCCCAGTGAAGCACACTTTGCCGACTATGTGGGCCACCTAGGCATCAGCAACAACACGCATGTGGTGGTATATGACGGTGACCATCTGGGCTCCTTCTATGCACCCAGGGTCTGGTGGATGTTCCGTGTGTTTGGCCACCGCACCGTATCAGTGCTCAATGGTGGCTTCCGAAACTGGCTGAAGGAGGGCCACCCAGTGACATCTGAGCCCTCACACCCAGAGCCAGCCATCTTCAAAGCCACATTGGACCCTTCCCTGGTCAAGACTTATGAGCAGATGCTGGAGAACCTCAAAACGAAGAGGTTCCTGATGGTGGATTCACGGGCTAAAGGCCGTTACCTGGGTACTGAGCCGGAGCCGGATGCAGTCGGTACGTTGTCCTGGTGGATGGGTGATCTGTGGGGACCATTGCCCAATAGAATCCACTAAGAATGACTGAGATGTTTTTCACATGTGGGTCTCAGTCTTTCCATCTGTAAAATGAGAAGGTAGAGCCAAACCCTAGGCTTTTGATGCATGAGGACTTACATATGTGTCCCCATAACCAACAGATGGTCCAGCATCTGTGTGGACTGGCTTCAGCAGAGGGGACTAATGACATGTCCATCCACATTCACCCAGACATCCTAGATTGTGTCAAACGGCACTGTGCCCATGTGCCAACATAGCATTACTGTACAAAGGCCTCCCAAAGAGGCACCCAGATTCATAAGGTAGCTCTAGCCCCCAGAAACCCTTACAGACCAACTAGTGCTCTCCCCTAAGCCCCCCTCCCTCCATCTAACTCCCTGAGCCCATTGATGACTGGTGTTTACAGACATCCAACAAAGCAATCTATCAGCAGAGTTGGAACAGCAGCTGCCATTGCCCAGTAAGCACCAGGTGCTCCATTTCTCATCTGATGAGGTATAACACCCCCATTTTAGAGGGAAGAGAACTGAGAGACCAGGAAGCTTTGTTCTGTAAATGGCAGAGTTGGGATCTGAATTTGGTGTTGTCTCCCAGTTTCAAAAGTTTGTGCTCTAAACTCCAGATCCAACACTATCTCTGCCCCATTCGCAAGGGTCATCGGTAGGGAATCTCCTCCACCAGACATATCCAGGCTCTCCGCTCCTTGTCCCTGAATGAAGGGAGCCTGGGAGGGTTCAACACTGCTGTGGGGAGCAGCCAGGGAGGCAATGCTGAGCTCTAGAACCTTTGAGCCAGGGAGAAACACAGGCTCATACAGGACCAGTTTCCTTGCTGGTCTCCCCACAGCTGCTAACTGAGCACCTCCTAAGTATCTCTGGACAGACTGGGGTCTGAGGCTGCAAGGTGGCCCTGAACCACAAGGACTTGCGTCTTCCCTTATTCAGAGCCCTTTGTGGAGAAGCTAACTGCTGTGTAACATTTTGCCTAACTTGTTGAAAAGTACCACTTCCTTTCTGTGCCTCTGGAGGGAGAAAATGTGGTAAAGGCCATTTCATATGTACTTAGAGCTAGAGGTCCTAAAAGGTCACCTCTTTGGGCAGAGGGGAAACTGAGGCACCCAGAAGAAGAGGCAGATCAAGGCCCTGCAGTTGGATCCTGGCAGAGCCAGGACAATGCTGAGCTCTGCCTCCCTTTACGGCTTTGCCCTGGCCCTGTTCTTGTCCTGCTTGCTCCCTGAAGGCCTGAAGTTAAAGATTCTGGTACATTTGGCTTCTCAAGACTCTTGGTCTAGGTTCAAGATGTGTTCTCTCTTTTCAGCTGTAAGCTGCCACTGGAGGAGGGATGATGGACTTAGTACAATTGTAGCTGCTTCCCAAATTGCCCAGATACAAACTAAGGAATAAAGGAAAGGGAAAATGTTGAGATCCACAGGTTCAGTCTCCTCACTCCCATTTTACATCTGAGGTAATTCAGACTCATAGAGGAGAAACAACCTGCTCCAGGTAATGCCTCCTGAAAGCGCTGGATTTGAAAGTTCCGCCCCCTCTCTGTGGTCCTTCTCCATCCTGACTTACAAGGAGCATTCTGGCTGCACTTTGACCAACACAGATTTGTTTGTTCTTTTGGCAGTCCACCGTACTTTCAATATTCTTCTCCAGTACCATAACTCAACGGCATCAATTCTTCTATAGTCTTCTTTGTTCATTGTCTGACTTTCACATGCAGGTGACATTATTGAAAATACCATGGCTTGGGTCAGGCGCACTTTAGCCCTCAAAGTGACATCTTTGCTCTTCAACACTTTAAGGTCTTTTGCAGCAGATTTACCTAATGCAAAACAGTATTTGATTTGAGTACTGCTTCCATGGCATTGATTGTGGTGTTGTTGTTGTCAGGTGCCAACGAGTCGGAACCGACTCATAGCGACCCCATGCACAGCAGAACGAAACAATGTCCGATTGATTGTGTAGATCTAGGTAAAATCGAATCCTTGACAACTTTAATCTTTTAACATTTATCATGATGTCACTTATTGGTCCAGTGGTAAGGATTTTGGTTTTCTTTACATTGAGTTGTAATCCATACTGAAAGCTTCATCAATAAATGCGCTTCAGGTCTTTACTTCCGGCAAGCAAGGTTGTGTCATCTGCATATCGCAGGTTGTTTGTTAAGAGTCTTCCTCCAATCCTGATGCCACATTCTTCTTTATATAACCCAGTTTCTCAGATTATTTGTTCAGCTCACAGACTGAATATATATGAAAAGACACAAGTCTGAATAACCCTTCCTGGTCCAAACCACTCACTATCCCCTTGCTCTGCTCAAGTGACTGCTATGTAATGACTGTTGTTCCTCGTACATAAGCACAAATGTGTCCTGGAATTCCCAATCTTCACAATATTATCCATAGTTTCTTATGATCTGCATAGGCAAATGCCTTTGCCTAGTCAATAAAGCACGAATACAGTTAAACATTTCAATTTGTAGTCCGTCCATTATTGGATCTTTATTTTTTGCCAATGTCTTCAGTGCAACTTGAACTTCTTCCTTAATTACCATTGGTTCTTGATCATACACTACTTCCTGAAATGGTTGAACCAATTATTTTTGGTGTAGTGACTCTGTGTATACCTTCCATCTTCTTTTGATGCTCCTTGCATCCTTCAATATCTTGCCCATATCATTCTTTAGTATTGCAAGTTGAGGTCTGAATTTATACCTCAGTTTTTTCAGCTCGAGAAATGTTGAGTGTGTTCTTCCCTTTTGGGTTTCTAACTCTTGAGTGTTTGTGTGTTTAATTATAAGGTCTTTGTCTTCTCGAGCTGCCTTTTGAAGTTTTCTGTTCAGCTTTTTGACTTCATCATTTTGTTCATTCACTTTAATTTCTCTACATACATTTCAGAGTCTGTTCAGATCATCCATTTTAGTCTTTTCTATCTTTCTTGTCTCTTAATGGTCTTTTGCTTTTGTTTCCAACTTTCTCATTCCAATCACCAGTAATTGCCATTGCATCCTGATTGCGTGTTGGATCAATTTCAGACTGAAGAAGTTGGTAGAATTCTCCAATTTCTTCATCATTGGCTTTAGTGGGTGGTATGTAAATTTGAATACAATTCTAATTAATCTGTCTTCCTTTTAGGCATATGGATATTATCTTCTCACAGACAGCATTGTACTTCAAGAGATTGTGAAATGTTCTTTAGATGATAGAATGCAACCCCATTCCTCTTGAATTTTTCATTCCTGGCATCATAGTAAAACCACATGATTGTCTGATTCAGAATGGCCAACACCTGTCTATCTCAGAGGACTAATGCCTAGGATCTTGTTCTTCATGCATTCCATTTCGTTTCTGATTCTGTGAAGATTACAACCAAGAAAACCCCTTGGAGCAGTTCTCCTCTGTCATTCCTGTGTTGGCATGTGTCAGCATCAGTTTGAAGGCAGCAAACTTGGTTTGGTTTTATGCCACTGAAGTGTTGTTGTTGTTGTTATTAAGTGCTGTCGAGTTGATTCCAACCCATAGCGATTCCGGCCCATAGCGACCATGTATAAGGTTTCCGAGGAGAAGCTCACCAGCTTGAACTGCTGACCTTGCGATTCAAATGGCTTTGTAGTCTGGTGCATTAACCCACAGCGCCACACCTGGACTCCTGAAGTTTTTGTTGTGTTGTTGTTATGTGCCGTGGTGGAGTCGGTTCCGACGCATAGCGACCCTGTACAGGGTTTCCGAGGCTGTAAATCTTTATGGGAGCAGAAAGCCTCAT